TCCCAGATCTCCAGATGCATTTGAGATATCAAAAAAGTACTCCAGAGTGTTGTTCAGCATGGGGGTGAGTAGAAAATGAAGGCTAATCATGTTTTCGGCGTACTATTCCTTTAACATGACGGACAAGTACTCCGAACGACATACGTGAGCAGGGCGGAGCGCTGACGGAGTATGATGGGGTTAGTTGACAACCTTGGAGATCTATGTCTGGGTTTTTGGCTCTATGCCAAACAACCTGCAGGTCAAAGACGAATGTAATTCCTGCTGTCAGTTATTAGGAAGTTGTTTAATGCTCAGCAGATACTTTGAGATTTTCAAAATCCTGCTGGACTTGGTCTACAAACCAACCCATTTGCAAAATGGCTACTATAGGGCGACCATGACTGCACCTCAACCTGCTCAGGGCAAAGCTTCCTGCTGTAACTTTAAGCTTTCCTCGTCTCTTTTTTGGTTTTCCTCAGAAGTTTGACTATGACAGCAGTACGGTGAGGAAGCGCTTCTTCCGTGAGGCTCTCCTCCAGATCTTCATCCCCTACATGCTGAAGCAGCTCAGCCCGTCCTGTTCCTCCGTGAGTATTTCCGTTTCCTTTGACCACCTGAGAGGAGGACATAAGGACCTGTCATAATATCCCGTTTTTTAAATGGGAAGGAGTTGTGACTGTTCTTATGGTTGGGTGTAAAAACAGGAGCTTCCTCGCTTCCGGGAGCTGATCTTTGAGGACTTTTCGCGGTTTATCCTGGTGGAGAACATCTTTGAAGAAGTGGTTCTGCACTCGGTCATGAAGGACATCATGATGGGTCAGTGTTTTTCTTATTCATATGTGAAATATACTATCAAAATATAAAATGCTACTTATATTATGAAATGTTCCATTAAATGAATTCAGTCCAGGAATTAAATTTTCCTTTAGAAAAATTATGTAGAAATGAAAATAACATTATGTTTAGAATTTAAAATGGAGAGAACTAGTTATACTAATCATATTAAAGGTTTTTTTAGGTGGTTGGCCATCAATCAAATGTTTGGGTACACCTACCATACCTAAATTAATGATTATGTAACATATAATGCATCAAAAGAGAAAATGAACAGGTTCAAAGAGCTACTACATGCAGTTAAGCAGCTAATTTAGAGTCTAAGACCTTAGTTTATATAGAAATATCAGATTATCTAAGTCCCCAACCTTAGGGGCGGTTCCAGGGAAATTTCCAAACAGAGAAAAGAACCCCCAGAAAAATCGCAAGATTCATTTTCTACTGTTATCTACACGCTTCAGCAAAAATCATTTAGCAAATCGCCTCCGATAAGGTTATCCCCTAAAACTGAATCATCAGGCTTGTTTTATCCTAAAAACAGGGATCTAAAAATGCAAAAAAGAATCTAAAATATAAGTACAGTTTCAGCTCAGCTTTGTTTAAAAGAAGAACTATGTCACAAATTATTTACCCTTCTAAAAACAATCCATGTAAATGTAGAGAATTGTACATAGAGCCATTGGGTAGATCAAGCGGGACATCAACAGGAAAAGCCATCAGCTGAACCTCTTGTCAATCAGTCGTGTTACTCATTAGTAGAACAGTTTTCATTGAGCTGTTGAGTTTCTGCAGTGGAAAGGAAGGACTTTGTTTGAAGCATGAAAATACCTGTGTATGAGCAGCCATCTTTTCCCACTAGTTTAGGTTTGACGAAGAAATTAGAGCCGAGTTATGACTTCTTCTTTTTAATCGGAAAAAGAACAAATGATGTACACAAAGTTATTGGTAGCAACAACTGCCCATAATACACAAATAAGCAATAGGGAAAATGGAGTAAGTAGACTTTAGGTCCTCCAGCAACATAAGCCCACATCAGCATTAAAGATAACTTTAGCCACTCTATCTCTAAGCTTTATCAAAGCCTAGATGTTCCAGGTCTTCATAAGTCACTCTGTGTCTCTAATTGTGGCACAATTGTGCAGAGGTCAGACATTTAGTTTTCTGAGTAAAATTGCTTTTTTTGTCATTAAGAAAAAAGGAG